CAAAATCCAAAGTTTCCTCTCTCAAAATTGTTGGTCATATGAGAAAAGGATCATAAATCCCAGACGGAAACGAAGCTGAAAAAGTTAGAGCCTGTTCACTTATACCAAGCCTCATTGTTTTGAAAAGTAAAAATAAAAAATGCATGCTTAAGTTTCCACTCTTCAGCAATATGAGTAGTTTCCAAATAGTAATATTCATATTATTTTTTTTGCTTTTATTATCTGTGAGTAATCGAATTGATCAACTACAAAAGAGAAAAAACTTTAATCTGATAAAATTGTGAGTCACAAAGCAAATCTCAGTATATCCTCGATACCTTTTGATGAGAGAAAGGAGAAATTCATGATTAAGAAGTACCCAATGAGAACTTTTTGTTGTACGCAAGCTTCATCCAGAGTAACCCTAGTCTTTAGTGGCTAAAAGGGTACTGGCTAGATAAATTGTAGAAGATGAAATTTTTGTTTAGGAGGACTACTACTTCAAGTAAAGGGTAACCGATTAACGAGATTGCATTGTTCGGTGGCAACCAGACACAATACATATCACAAAGAAAACATCCAGAAGAACAAGGAAACCATAATATTTGCATATGTGGTCCAGTATCTTCGAACAAATCCCCAAAACATGTGCTGTCGCTCTGTCGGCCGAGCTCCCTTACCCTTGTTTTCGTTGCATTTAGATTCATTTCCACACTACTTATTGTTGGTGTCAATTAACATTACTCATTAATTTTACATGTGAACTTCTATACAAATCTGCTTTTTTGGTGAAATGATTGGATATTGCCGCAGCTGACTCTGGTCTTAGTGTACCACATTGCTCCAGAAAGGTGTTCTGCCGACTTGTATGTGAGAACATCAGCCCTCTGTGCCTGAAAAACTTCCAAGTTTGCCCCAACCATTTGAGCGAAGCTAAGCTGCTAAGTTAAGCAATTAATGAAAGAGAGTAGGTCTAGGACAAATCTGATGTCGATTTCTTTTTTTTTAATTTTTTGGCCACCACTTCAAAACAATAGTACGGGGACAAAATTGACTGTTTATATCATCTTATGTTACTCGATCAGGTTTAAAAGGCAGTTGACGTTATGCATTAAGCATTTTCTTCATGGTTGAAGAGAGAAAAAGACCAAAACAGATCCAAGCAGCTTTAGTTTGTACATTATAAGATACATATTCCTTTTTTTTTTTTTTACTTTTGTGTGTATTAGTTAAAGTTTCATAAGAGAGTTATCCTCTTCCTTCTTTAAAAAGGGTAACAACCAATTCCAGGCTATTAAGGAATCAAAATTTTCAACACTCAAAACAAGATGAGGAAGAAGAAAAAGAAAGAATTGTGTTTTTTGAAAGTTACACAACTATATATTCCAAGCATTTGCCCATGGTCATGAGTTTTTTTTTTTTTTTTAAAAAAAAAGAGGATTCAAACTTGTACCAAGAGATCATATACTAATCAATAAGTCATATATTCGGGTGCGTATAGGATTATGAAATTAAAATATATAATATTAAAAAAAGATAAAGTCTAAATTTATTATTTTAAATAAAATAGTAGATTAAATTTACTATTCATCTTTGAACCAATGTAATTTTTCATCATTGTATCTTATACGTTGATTTAAAAATAGTTAAATATTAAAATATTTTAAAGAATATCCTTTTATTTTTTAAGAGGATTTTTTTCGTTAATTTTTGTTATTTTTTAATTAAATTTAACAATATGATAGTAATAGTGCATCTATTCACAAATGAATGATACATTTGATTTATCATCTTAAGGAAGTGATAAATTTGAATTGTGTTAAAAGAAAGAACCCTTTGTAACCCTACAATGTATGGCTGCGCACCGTTCCTTCCTTTTGCATTAAATTTTAATAACATGCGTCTACGCATGTTCATTTTTTTTAATATATAAAGAAAGATTAATTTAATACAAACAGGATCTTATTGAAGTAACATATCATTTGTGCCTATTATTCTAAGATTACTTTTCTTGTTGACGTCTACAGATAGGCATTCATTTGGTAAAAGCTAAACTACAAATTCCAGCGGAAAAAATGCAAAAGTAATGCATTAGGTCTTGTCCACCTGCTACGTGCACCCTATTAAAACACTAATTTGGAAGCCTTAAAAGAATAAGATTGCCTGAATGAGCTGGCTAGGACTTTGAATTAAACAATTAATTAGTAGTTTACCAAGTGAAGACAAAAGCAAGCTATGCTATACAAGTTAGCTTCCATTTAGGAAACTCTTTTACTTAAAAAATGCTGAAGTAAACGACCCATACCAGTTAGTTTACCTAGTTTAATTTATAATTGAAAGTGATATCTACTTGTAACCATAAAATTTTCTAATTTAATAATGAACTTTTCTATGTTTACACGGTAAGTAAACCATATATGGCAGATGAAAGTAATTGATTGAATGATTCCTACACTAAAGTAAAATATTAACAAATCTTAGGGAAAAGATTTAAATTTTCCATTTTTCTTATAATAGTATTAACAATGAATGAAGAAAAGTATTTTTCTTTAACCAACATATATTATTTTAGGGTGATACTTTTTTTAACCAACAATCCAATAATTTAACTATTCACAAATAAGTTAAGACAATAAATAATAAATTTATTAGCATTTAGCTTTTGTGAGTAGTCGAAATTAATAATATTTTTATGAAGGATTAATTAGGAGAAATGTCCGCTATTACATGCGGTTGAATTTTTATAGATGAAAGTCGGCCCAGATGGCACCTCCCCGACAGGGTAGCCTTATGAGATGTTTTATTGTTGGCCGAAGACACAGCATTCAACGTGAACTGGCAGTGTCCACCTGGCCGATTTAACTGCCACGCCATCCTTTACGGACCCGCGATAATGACGTCCACGTGGAGTGGCCGGCCCCTAGGGCAACTAAGGACAATGCTGCCATGTCAGGATTTAGGCAATTTGGGTGACACAAGAGGTGACCGCGAGCGTTGTCTGTCACCGTCACATTAAATTCTATTGTTTCTTGTGACACGTGGGACTTGGCCAGCCTTGTCTCAATCAGATGCTGACGTGGAAGATCTAAATCATTCCCCCATTGAATGCCACAACTGCTACTCTGCAATTTATCAATCGCGTAATTATCTTTTCTTTTTCCTTTTTCACTAACATCCTTTATAGTAATTTTCACACATAAATTAAATTATGCATGTCTATTTGTTATTTTGTCCTATATTTATTATTTTACACAATATTCAAATTAATAGACACAAAAGGCAACGGGCAATTTTTTTTTTTATGATTACTCGAGCAAAATAACAAATCATTAGAATATTTTGTAAAATAATTTAATTTCATTATTTTTCTTAAAAAATTAACAAAATTAAAAATACAATAAAAAATTTTGCAATTTACACTAATAAAACATTTCATAAAATATTCAGTTCCTATTACTTTGTTAAAAAGAAATTAAAATACAATGAAAATATTCAATATTGAATCAAAGTATAATAACAAATTTGATCTTAGTCCCCAACAAATATTAACTACTCTAACATTTTACAAAATTTGCTTAACCAACTTTCTTACGCCTTCCCTAGTCTCGACAAAATTTGTGATTTTTATTCACCAAATGAAGCCTAATGACATATAAAGGACTATTACATAAACTTAATAAAAATCTCTACTCAAATTATCTAATGTATATCATTAAATTTAAGCACAAGAGGGGTTAAGTGTACATATTTTCTTGGTATTTTTATAATTCTATGGTTTTAGATATGAGATGATAATTATCCACTACTAATTAAGTACGGTCCACTTATAACATGCAAGGTCCTAATCACAAATACTAAAGGATTAAACTGTATGAGCATAACAATTAAATTTTGTTGTTTCCATAACTTAGAAGCTGGTTCTTTTTTTGACCCCTTAAATTTATGTATTCACTATAAATAAAATGGGAAGAGATAAGTTCAGGACATATCAAGGCATGTTATCTGAAATACATACCAATTTAAGATCCCAAGTATGGTGGCCACTACTTGGATAAAACGAGTGTCTATTTTTTTTTCACTGTTATTTCTTGTAAATGCTCTTTGCACAGAGAATCTCACAAAAACCAAATTCAGACCAAAAAGAGGGGAAAACAAAAGTTATGGATTTGATCTGTCAAGGAGTCCCATCTCTTGCAGTTACATTAATCTGGCAAGTCTAAACGAATAGGCTGTTGTATCAAAAGGCACCATACAAGACACCCATAGCTATTTGATCTGATTAGTCATTTAAAATGGAATACCCCTATTGTTTTAGGTTTTGGCAGATGGTGAAAATGCTGTTGACGTCCCTAAAGAAGTGACATCAAGAGCGTAAAGGTGATGGTACAATATGTACAATCAATAGTAGTACTAATTAGTTGTCTAATCCTAATCTTAAAAAAAAAAATTAGTTGTCTAATCCTACATGAAAACTTCACTTGATTGCTTGAATTTCAAAATCGAATTCATAACAGTAACAAAGCTTTGTGTGAAGGTGTTGGAAAAGGGGGGCAAAGCCTAAACCAGGAATCAGAAAACCCTCAAGCTACTCCAAAAGGGTAGGGCAGTTAAGGATATGCAAAAGGCAAAATGTTCTTGTTTCTCATTCTTTGAGGTTATTTCTAAAATTTCTTGTCTTTCTTGGGTTTCATTCTGACACTTAAAAATTGAACATAGGGGAGAGCATCCCCATTAATTAAAAGCACAACTATGTCCCCCAATAGGCCTATAGAGTCCACACTTGAGTATCGTAAAACAAGATCCACACACAATCCATAATTGAACAATGGGGTAGTGGGGGTGCCCAAATGATTAGTCATTTTCTTAGACAAATTATAGCTTCATCACATCAGAAAAAAAAGAGAAAAAGGCAAAGAAAGTGGAAGAAAACTCTTTTTTTTTCAAGTTAAAATAGGAAAACTCCATGTGGGTCCCGACAGCCAAGTATATATCAAGGCAGGCACTTCCCCTGCTATGGACAATTCGCAAGCTTTCTAACACCCAAGTTCCAACACCAAGAAGGAAGAAAGAGAAACAAAAACTGAAACATACGTTTTTTTCCCGACCTTAGAATTCCATAACTGTTAATCATTTCTCTGCTCTTCAAATGAGGTCTTTCTGCCTAGCAGTCTCCCTTCTGCTGTTATGCATTTTCCTTTCTAGTGTTCAAGGTATACGCCAAGAAACCTTTCTTACTTATAACGAACAGATATCCTGTTTCTGCTTTGCCATTACAGCATGATTAAATTCTGATATCTTATGTTTTTTTGTGAAGGGATTCGCTTGGAGAAAAGTTTCAAATCAGCAGGGCATCCTAAATTGCATGTCAGTCTCCAAATCTTTCATGATTTATTCATTCGGTGCACTGCATTGAATGTTTTTGGAATGGAACTTTTTTTACTTCTATTCGGTTATCCTTTCCCACTATTGAAGGTGTAAAACTGTTGCTATATGCAGGAGGGTACTGTGATGAAAACTAGTTATGAAGTTATGGGAGAGGTCATTCTCTGCAAAGAAGGGCACTGTTCAGGTACCAAGAAGAAAAAAGCCTCTAGAGTATTGAACAAATCACACCACTGGCTACCAAGCATTCAAGAAGATTACTATGGACCTAGGAGGCACAGGCCAAAGCACCATTAAATATCCCCTTCCCTAGGATAAATATTCTTCCACATTTTTTACTACTAGGCCTAGCTAGTATAGTACTATTCCTTTCAGAACATTTGAACCCATGGCCATGTAATCTGACAAAGCAGTTTTGTCCACAAATTAAGAAGCTTCTCTAACTATGGTTAATTCCCTTTGAGTTGGATCAACTATATAGATGTTTATGGGGCACTTTGTGTAAGAAATGTGTGGAATACAGACACCAAAGTTTATCAATCAAAAATTTTAGGAAAGCCCACGTTGTCTTGTCTTGCACCAAATCCAACAGTCATATCTCAAGCGGATTTTCACATTCATTTTTGCAGGAAAGAGTAGAAAACTTTCGTCTGCAATAACTTCTAGTGCTCCTACATCTACCACCACTTCAAAGGTTGGTTAATAGTTACTAGTTAATATCTAAATCTCCGTAGCTAGGGTTTAGATCTTCCTCTAAATGACATTATATGCTCTCCATGTATACAGAGCGAAGAGAATGGAGAAAACAAAGCTAACCCTACTTCAAAAGTCAAATCAGGCAACGAAGAAAATGGTGAGAAGCAAGAGAAATTCCCTGTTGGTTCACCGACAAGTTCCGAACACCAGGAGGGCCATGACCAATATGCCGACATTATGGACATAGCTGAAATGGACTATTCTCCAGCCAGGAGAAAACCTCCAATACACAACTAAGAGTAGGAAGAAAAACAAGACATAGAAAAAGAAGCCACAACGTTTTCCAGCACAATAAAAGGAATAGAAATGGGACAGCATTCCAGAAATGCTGCAGTTTTTTTAGGGTTTACGAAGTTTTGTGTACATAGAATATTTTATTATCATAGTTATTGTTAAAACATCACTTTTGATGATTGAGTCACGATGCACCCTTTTGGGGGGGCACTTTAGGCCTTGTAACCTCACATATTATAGAATGAAAACTTACTAATAACATCAAAATTTATGGGTTTAAGTAATTGTTGTATATACAGTGATAAATTAAGATATAACCTAATTGATTAATACAACTTTCTGATTTTAGAAACTAATGAAGTTCATTCTTTCACTTATGCAGTGGTTGGATATGATCTATATCTTAACTATAAAAATGGGATGTGGACAGAATTTAATAAAATTGTACAAAACAAGAGTAAAAAGTGCAGATGGGGGGACCTAAGGTTTTTTTAAAGAGAAACTTGTGTTAGCGAAACAAAGTGGAAAGAAGCTTGTGTTAAATGAAGTAGGTATGGAGCCTTATCTGAAATTGACCCCTTGTATGTTTTCTTTACTCGGTAAGTGGCCCACCAGGGATTTTGGGCTATACCTATAATGTTTCACTTCTTGATTATAGTGTTCCAATCGTCAGTGGTCACTCTTACATGTGGGCTCACATGTCCTCACTTGGGTCACCTATGCTTCGGTCTCAAGAGCCTAGATATCGGTGGACCATGCAAATGAAGTAATACCTCTAGGTATGATCTCTTTAACGTGTTTTGGGACACTGCTCCCCTGTTGGCTCGACATATCAACTTGTTTCGGCTATAATTGTGTGATTGTTTGGCTTGGTTCTTTATCAATTTATTTATTTTTTTTTTAAAAAAATTAAACTAAATAGAATTTTTGAAAAGTTTTGAAAAAAATAACCTTTTTAATGAAATAAAATTAAAAAAATAGCTCAAAAAAATTCAAAGAGGAGTATTTTTTTTAAATACGTTAGTTTTTCATAAAATACTTTTCTCTCAATCAATTTCTCTCTTCTCTTTTTCTCTGTAAATCATCATGCTTCAACACAAATCACAATCTCTTCCTCATTTATCTCTCTCTATAAATATTACTGGAAAAAAAAACAAAAAACTCAACAATTAAAATTTTAAGATTTTTTTATTCTTAAAAAGATTAAGAAAAAATAACACTCAAAATTTAAAACTGCATTAATATAATATTTAGGGTTTTTTCTCTTTTTCACCAAAAAAGATTTTAATATCAACTACATCGTTTTCTCTATTCTCTTCTTTTTTGGAGAATTAAAACATTATAATCCGATTGCTTGTTAGATCAATAAAAATAAAATATTATTACTATTTGAGAATTGTTTTTTTTATAAATTTTATTGATTTTAACATTTGAAATCGTATATAAACTCGAAACAAATTTGTTTTGCTTTGGTTTAATAGGTAATTGAAAATGACATAAATATCTTTTAGGATAATTTTAACCAAAGTTAGATTTTATATAATTTATTTTACCAAACAGTTTATTAAACAATTTTAAATTAATTTTAAAAGTTATTATTTTTTATAAGAGTTTCATAATAAAATTAATAAAACTGATATAAACTTACTAGAAATTTATTTAATTTAACTCTATCTGATTCAAAAACATCAATTCGTTAGAACTAGAATGTGAATTGATCCGAACTTGAAGAACATAATATTCAATTTGAAATGATTGTAATTTCAATAATTCATTCAAATTTAATTCAATTTGGTTTTTGCAAAGCAAATAATTTAAACTTGTTATGAGTTGAATCTAAATAATTTAAATGTCTAAACTAAATTACTTAATATGAACTTAAATCCAACATGATAAGATTTTAAATAATTCAAACTTAAAAATGACTTGATCAAAATGAATTGATTCGACTCAAATTTAATTATCACCTCTGATCGAGTAGTAGTTAGTGACTCCGTAGAAAAATTGCTTAGTAGTTTTACGGAAGTTACTTTTATTGCTGCTATGAAAATAGCTAAAGATATAATTTCTTCCATTGTCAAGTAATCAAGGGTGGAAACAGCTGTTTGAGGTCTAATTGGTGCAAGGCACATCTTTTCTTTAGTGTTAGATCTCTTTAAATACAATTAGGTTACATGCTTAACTAACTGTTAAAAATCTTTAGATAATGCTCCTCCGATTAGAGAATGACTTGATATTCTTGTAAATCTCAAAACACTACTCTCACATTGTCCCTAAGCTGCCAGGGCATTGTAATTTATATCTTTGTTAAAAGGACATTTGGTGATTAGTCATTAATAAGATTGAAAGTTCAAGTTACAAAACCTCTACTCTCATACTATGATAAACAAATAACTTGGTTCAAGCATTAGCATGCCATGATGGGGAGAAGGAAAAGCTTAACCATGTTTTCCATGTTGTCCGCACAACATGGTCGGCCCCTGTCAAAGTTTTTACCCTTTTTTAATCAAAGTTCAGAATGCCCAAGAACTCATCAGTACGCATGGAAATAATACCAACTAGCAAGTCTGTTTCAACGATGAGACACGATACACATGGTCCTTAGAATGTGATGGGCTGATGGTGATAGAATGCTGAAGAGTTGTGAAGAGACACTCTCTCCGACCTAAAAATCAATCCATCATGAATAGGCCGCAACCCACCTACAACGGCTACAACCTTTATGGCTCTACTTTCAACAGACAATATTCATTCTCAAAAAGAGCGCCGAGGACGGATTTACAGTTCAGGAATTTGGCAATTAGCAACTCAGATAACAGACAAGCTGGCAGATTAGGTAGAAACATCGAGGCCCCAGAGTCTATTCGTGACTCTCTCCTGATGTATTCTAATGGAATCTAGAGTTCCAGCAAGGCTGCTTGGTAGCTGCTAGCAAATTCCAGGTGATGCTACAATGCCGGCTCGCATAAGCAGCCTTGAGGCCTACATACAATTTAAGAGTTCAGGATGTTCAAGTGTAAACTGTTAACTCGCAAGGAATACATGTGAATGGCATCACGCTGCATTCGGCGTTATAGAAAAGTACGAAAATCTCCAGAGTTTACCTAGAGTAAAAACATCATTCACGCCAGTGAAATACTAAAGAACAACGAAAATTTTCAATAATCAACTTAAAATTCATAATACTGTTATAAGAAAAAGTGTGAAATATAAGTTCTCAAATGTCTGATGCATGCACCTTGGGTGTTAAATGTATGAGAAAGGTCTTGTGTTGACAGCAATGATCTAAAGTTCAAATTGGTAGGTGTGCAGGAAGAAAGCATTTTCAAAGAAAGACTAAGTTAATCACTAATTCAAACGTGGAAAGACTGAATTATCACTTAACTATCAGGTTAGTGGCTACATGAGAATACTTAATTGAACACATTTCAAGTGCACCTTTCTTACTTTGAAAGCAAAGAATACTCTACTTTGCTCATTAAGAGAAGAAATCAGAAATGTAAGTTAAAAAGACAGAGCAAGGAAAATACATTTGAAGTCAACTGTTTCTTTCCTTTTCTTTTTCCCTCAAAACACAGTTAAAAAAGATTAGCCAAGAAGGAAACTTTTCCAGTTGGAAGGAACATACCAAATTGAGCATAGATTTGAAGAACCATGTGTTGCTCAGGACTGCTGGCAATGGAGCTCCATTAGATTTAACAGTCAAGGAAAAATCAAAGCCAAGATATTTAATGGTTTCATAAGAACAGAGAAGCATATTTGGTGTTCGAGCACAGATTAAAACATATATGGTATCACCAAAGGATCTTGGAAACTATATACAAAATAATAAAAACAAAACTTATGGATGAACTGTGTGCAAACAAAGAATTGTGGATAAACTATTAGAATGCAACGCAATCAATGCAAATGGATAAATGTTCAGCATAGATGCTCCTATAATTGTTTCCAAACAGTTGAATATAAGTGAAATACAATAGTTTGATTTGACAACACTGAAGAGCAATATCTACTTTCTACTAGAGATGCATGCCAACCAGGAATATTTGAGGTTAAAGCTGAAAAAATAAAAGATAAATCAATGGGGGGCTCTTCCACCCTCTTGATCTAGAAATGCTACTGCGTAACGTCTTTTCTCCATCCTCTTCTGCCCCGCTCAGAAAACGTCAGGATGATAGAAAGTGAAGAGAGTACCAAGCCGAATTAAGGGGCAAATTCTTATATAAAGAAAACTGGATTTTACGAGTGCTTTGGCACAAAATACTAAATTAGAGTGCAAAGAAAATTTTCACCTTAAATAAGGTTCAACAAAGCTACCAAGAACTTTCACGACTCATCATTTACCCTTTAATGTCTTTCAAAATAATAAAGTCTCACATCTTTTTATTTCTTTTAAAATAATAAAACACTTATACATTTGAGGTAAATATTTTTTAAAAGATGATCCAAACAACGGAAAATGTTTTTAAATAGTTATTTAAACAATAAAAAATATTAAAATTTTCTGCAAAATATCTTACACAAAAAAATTTTTCCAATAAAAAAAGAAATATCTAGAAGTTAAAAATATTCCTAAACTTTGTATCTAAAAAGCATCCCACGAATACTTAGCATTAAGTATAATAGGACAACATTTAATAAAATTTTTTCCATTTTCAATCTCCAAATACTTCTCCTACTGCACCACCATATGCAACAACATCCATCTCCATGATATTTGTAAATGGGTCCTTTACATAAAAAGAAAAAGCGTTGTAAATAAATAAAATGATGTATTAAAGGCAAGAGAAAAAAATTGAAACGGTCCGGAAGTACTGAGTGTTGTGATACGTGAAAAAATAAGTACATAATAGAGTGGAAAATAGTAGAGAATGAGTGAGTAGAGTAATACTAAGTGGAGAAGAATTAAGTAGAAGATGATTAGAGAGAAGCTTAGAGTGAAATTATGTTGTATTAGCTCTAAAAATTTTCTCCCTAAATTGAATTGTGAAGACTTCATATACAGAGCCACATGAGACATTCACTTAACAATAAACTTTAACGCACAAAATGGATAATTGTTATTGAAACTCATTATGTGGATACTAAAATAGTGATTTTATGTATATATTAAGTATCTATTTGGTCTTTTTTTTTTTCAACTTATATACTTTTTAAAACTAAGGATGTCAGTAGATAAGGTACTTACTAATTTTAAAGTATCCGAACCCGAACTCTATAAAAAATAAACCACTCAAACCCTATTAATTATCTGAATATTTTTTAAAATTACTACCCTAA